GGGGGGGGGGGGGGGGGGGGGGTCATGTTTGGTGTAGATTTGGGGGTCTTTTGGAAGACACACAAGAAGTTTTCCAACCTGTTTTCCTGAAGCCCTCATACCTCTGGAAAGCAATAGAAGTATCTGCATGAGCAAAGATCTCCAGCACAGGAAAGTACAGAGGATGTAAGAAGAATAAGGCTTTGGCTGGAGAGATGGAAGTGGTGAAGACCTGCAGCCACTGGTAGGCTTTTCTGCAAAGACTGCAGTTGCAAACAGACCTAGGCAGGAACTCACCTAGACTTTAAGAAACATTTAGTTTTAGAACTTAAGGACCCATGTTTTAGTCTGAACTGAACCCATGAGTCTAAACCTTCTTCAAACTCTGGACTAATGTTGCTTTTAACCTTACCAAGCTACAGCTTGGATCTATTTGTTTAGTCATTGGCCAGATGAAGGTTATTCTTTGTCTCAGAGAAAAGATTTACTTTTGCTCTCTGTTTGAGATTAGCTTACTGTTGTCCCCACAGTTCATCTGCTTTTATATGCATACCCTGCTGCTAAATGTGGATAAAATAGGCAGATAGTCCTTTTACTCTCTTTTCTTTTCAGCTTATTGATGCAGGATTTGGTCATATGCATGGTAATGTGTAACTGAAGGATGTTGTCCCTCTCCAGCTGGCTTAGATCTCACCTCTAAGCCTGTACTCAAAAAATCCTACCTATTCTGAGCAGCATGGGAAGTTCTCCAGGGCCCAGAATGTGAAAATTAATCAATTCTTGTAGAAATGTTTCTGTAATGCTATGGAATCCAGCCAAGAGACATGATGAATGTGAAAACTGTTTTCTAGGACATCCAGTTTCATTTAATTTTGTCATGCCCGTAGAACTTTTCAGCAAATGTCTGTATCCTTCCATCCTGCATCCTTTTGTGATGTGGTTGCCCTGGCAATCCAGCTGACTTTCCAGAAAAGCCAGCTCCATCAAAGTTCATTGACTTGCTACATTAAAGGCCTTCAGTAGGCTTCAGCATCTATTGATGCCAGTTCTTTCATGGGCTTGGACGTTTATGAGAAGAGATCTGCAGAGAGGGTTATGCTCTAGCATAACCAAATGCTTGATTTGAGCTGATTTTTTTCTTTGTTTCTTCTTCACTCTACATGGACCAATAATCTTGAAACACTGAGGTAATTTTTCTGCATATCATCAGACTTCTGTTCCAGCAGATTCTCTATAGGGGCAAAGTTTTCCAGGAAAGGTCTCTTCTTATGTACCTCCCTTCAATGTGTTTGTGCAATAGTTTAACTTGGAAAAAATCTCAATATAATTTCTTCCTTCAGGCAAGCCACAAAGGGACCAATGTTTAAACAAGTTCATCTATATTTTCCACTTGAATTTAGCAATTTTAATGCTTGAGGATTAAGAAATAGAGCCTAAAAGGTACTTAAGTATGCAAGAACCCCGAACACTGAAACGCCTTACTCCCTGAGTGCTATGTGGAGTGCTTGCACTTTATGAGGGGAAAGTTTGGTGCCTCAGAAGAACAGAACCTGAATGCACAAGGAGCTGCTTGCACCAATCAACAGAGGTATGAGCTTGGAAAGGGAAATCACACGGGGAAGACCAAGCAGACAAGAGCTGCTCTCATTATAAAAACAAACAACAAAATAATTTAGAAAAAACCCAAACTGAGCAACAACCCATGAAATGTCAAACAGAGGTTGACCCATCCTCTCTAGTACCTTCTAGTTTCTTTGCTCATGTTTTTGGAGATGATACAGTCCATACATTCTCCTAGAATTTGTCAGTGGATAGGATTTCTGCAACCTAGACCCTGTGGGAGGAGGAGGAGAAGTGGAGACACTGATGATGAAGGGGTGGCAGAACAGGATTAGGAGCTTCTTGAAGCTCTTAACCATAGTAAGCCCAAGCAAGGACCATCTTCTTTTTATAAAGATATAGTCATGGGGGTATTTTTGAGGAGCCTGTCATAAGCCAAATCCTACAAGTGCTCCAGATTTCAGAGCATTGGGGTTTCAGGCTTGTTCAAAAGCCAGAATCCTGTAAGTCTGTTCTGGATATTGTGATTTTTTGAGAACAGAATCCTAGCAGAAGACAACCACAATAGATAGATTTCTTCACTGAGATACAGAGAGCAACTCATTGACACAGGTGCCCTTGAGTGTGGGGAATTCACTGCAGCACCTGAAGTTGTGTGAGTCACCGTTTCTTGTAAGAACACCTGTTTGTGCAAGGAGCATCCCACAATTACTTTAATCCCAGAAATAGGTGGCACTACCAGCTCCACTTGGCAAAAAGTCCCCACATGCAGGGGCAGCAATGACCCCCAATGAGAACTTCTGCACCCCAGAGTGGAGACAGTCTTCTATCACCCAGACAACATGCTGCCAAATATGGGTTGGGCAAATGATGGGTTGGAGACAGGATCCGGGTGGATCCCTGTCACAAGGTAGCCAAGCAGAAGCTTTCCAAAGGCTTTTTAGGGGTCTGCCTGCGGCTTTGCTCAGGAACATGTATGTATGCCCTGTACCCTGCACCAAAGAATCCTGTTGGCGCTGTGACTGGGACGATTCAGCCTGAGTCATGGCATCTGGCCATGGGAAGAAGGCTGGGATAGGATGAAGCAACATGAAAGGGGTCATAGCACCAGGAGAGTTCAAGAAATTTGGACAGTACTCTCAGGCACACGGTGTGACTCTTGGGGATGGTCCTGTGCAGGGCCAGGAGCTGGATTTGATGATCCCTATGGGTGCCTTCCAGCTCAGCATGTTCTGTGATATAAGGCAGCTCAAATTTCAAGGAAGCCCTTGCTTTCCAAAACCAAGTTATAATTGACTGGTTGTGTATAAAAAACATAAATCTATTTAAAAACATAATTCATGGTGAAGGTTGTGTCATCCCTGTCCCGTGGAAGGCTCTGCTTTCCCACCTGCCCCACACTTCCTTGTCCAGCAGCTACCCTGCAGCCCCTCACGACTTCTCTGCCCCCCATTTGTGTCTACCGTCCCTGACATGGGACACAGAGCTGTATCCCATGCTGGGAGTGTGGGTGTTTCATGTCTCCTTTTTTTTTTTTTTTTTTTTTTTTTTTTTTTTTTTTTTTTTTTTTTTATCCCTCTGCCAAAGCAGGGTCACTTAGAGCAGGTGACACAGGAACGTGTCCAGGTGGATTTGGAGTCTCTCCAGAGAAGGACACTCCACAGTCTCTACGGGCAGTCTATTCCAGTAACATAGTGAAATTCTACCTCATGTTGAGATGGAACTTACTGTGTTTTAGTTCATACCCATTGCTCCTCAACCTGTCACTGGGCAGCACCGAAAGTAGTCTGGCACCGTCCTCCTGGCTCCTGCCGTTGAGACAGGTGTAGATGCATTAATGGGATCCCTTCTCAGTCTTCTCTACTCCAAACTAAACTTTCTGAAAGGGCTCTCAGCCCAGGCTAGTACAGCGTGTTTGCCTGACTTTGTTCTCGGCCTGGCGGTGACAGTCTGGGGTGTATTTTCACCCTCCCCTTGCCAGGCCGCGGGCCCGCGCCGCCGCCGCCCGGCCGCGGAGCGCGCCCGCCATCTTGTGGGCTCTGCCCGCCTTGCAGGCCGCCCTCAGCCCAACCCTGCGGCGCTCGGGGCTTCAGCGGGATCTCCAGAGCAGATTTAGAATATGGAGGAAAGCTGGGACTAGAACAGGCTTCCAAAAAAAGTTGCGGTACCCCTGTAAGTGTTCAAGGCCAGGCTGAGTGGGGCTCTAAACAACCTGGTCTAGTGGAAGGTGTCCCGGCCCATGGCAGGGAGGTGGGAACTTAAAGGTCCCTTCTATCCCAAGCTGTTCTGTGATTTTGCAAACAAGAGTAGGAGAAAGCCGAAAGCAGTGTCCTAAGGCAGGTATTCCCTTTTACCTCTGGGAAATGGCTGATTGCAGAGGGAGTGGGTGTGTTTCCAGAGCTCCAGCAGGTGCAAGTCTTGTGGGGAACCTGGGCTATTTGGATGACTCTTGTTATCCTAAGGAGAGGTATCCCCACAATTCCTTGCCAGTCTAGGATTTAATAGCCCGCAATAAACAATGAGGGTGTTTGATGAGAAATTGCCTGCTTGGCACTACTACAACAGCCTGATGAAGAGAGAGTGAGGCAATTGTGTGCACACTTCTTTAGGAAAGGCTGAGCAACAAAATTTTTCCTCCTCTGAGGCAAGAAAAGGGATTCCAACACACAGTGGAGCTAGATGATGGCGTATGATGTGCCCAAGCACAAAAGCATTCCTACAGAACTGGGGGCTAGTTTTCCCTTCTCAGTCAGTCTTTCATGATAATTTACTGTTTATCCTGCCTTAGCCCAGACTCTCTGTTTTGCCTGGATAATGGAACAATGGTGCATCAATTCACTTAAAATATGACATTGAACCTGTCTGTTGTCACTGATGGTAGATGCACCAAAGTTAGAGGAGAGGGACCCACAGATCCTAACAGCTTCCCTAACATTTCCTTTCACCAGGAGCACCTCAGCCCAAGTGAAACAGCAAAATCTCCCTAGAACCTGTAGTATGACAGGCTTTGTACACCTGCCCACATGCAAGAGGGGCATTCCTCCTTCCACAGGAGATCTGTGGAGTGAAGGTAATAGGAAGATGGGAGTTTGTGTCTGTTTTAAGCCAAGAAATGGGAAACTCTGCTGAAACTCGTTTTGCCCTATTTTTACCCTCTGCTTATCCTGTTAATATGCAAAAAGTATCCAGTCATCTTTCTGTTTGAAAGACTGGAGGTACTAGAGTCCAGCTTCTCTTTTGCAGGGACCCATCTTCCACCCTAGTCATGTACCTAAATACATTGGAGGATTTTGACCCAAAGGCTGAGACTTCTGAAGCTCATTTCTTGTTTGGGACATAGGCATTAATTAAAATAGGCATTGTGGCATTAATGGTTCAATGGCTTCAGCTCTAAATGAGCTGGCAAAGGTGTTCTCAGCCCAGAATTTTTTTTCTATTTCCAGCTGTTGCAGTTGATCAGAGAAGCAGGTCATAGGTTCACAGCATCATAGAATATGCTGAGTTGGAAGGATCCTGCAGGATCATCTATGTCCAACTCCTGGCCCTGCACAGCACCACCCCAAGAAGCACACCTTGCATCTGATAGCATTGTGCAAATGCTTCTTGAATTCTCTTGGTCTTGCTGCTGTAATCACTTCCCTGGGGAGCCTGTGCCCACCTACCCTCTGGGTGAAGAACCTTTTCCTAGTACCCAACCCAACCCTCCCCTGGCCCAGTGTGAGGTCATTCCCTGTCCAGGTCCTGTCTCTGGTCACCACAGAGAAGAGATCAGTATCTGCCCCTCCTCTTCCCCTTTCCACAGAGCTACTTTACAACCTCTCATTCCCCATCTGTCTGTGCATCCAGGATGCAGAATCTGCCCCATCCCAGATGCAGAGTCCAGCACTTTCCCTCATTGAACTTCATATGGTTGGTGACTGCTCAGTCCTCTGATATGTCAAGGTCTCTGCTGGGCCTCCCTGCCCTTGAGGGCCCCAACAGCTTCTCCCAATTTAGTATCATTGGCAAATTTATCCAGGATCCCTTCAGATTCTGCATCCAAGTCATTCATGAAGATGTTGAAGAGCACAGGGCTGAAGATGGAGCCCTGTGGAACTCCACTGGTGACAGGTCACCAGTCCGATGTCACCCACTCCCTATAACCCTTTGTGCCTGAGTGGTGAGCCAGTGGCTCACCCATGGCATGATGTGTTTATCCAGCTGTGTGCCCGACCTTTTGTCCAGAAGGATACTGTCAGAGTATTGAATGCTTTACTGAAATTCAAAAAGAATAATCAGCTGGCTTCCCTTGACCAGCTAGGTGGGTTCCCATGTTGTAAAATGAAGTTTGACAAGCAAGACCTTCCCCTCAGGAAGCTATACTGGCTGTGACCGATGAATGGTGGTTTCCAGTTTCCCAGTTGATTGTGCTCTCCTTGCAAACCTTGTTCCTCTTCCACACCAAGTCACTTACAACACTTTGCTTCTGATTCATCATCACCACGTCATTTTGGAAAACTGAAATAAATGCTGGACCAAACCAAGAACTGCAGGGTTGCCTGGATGCTATGCTGTGGAGGTTAAATAGCAGGAAGCCAGCTGTCAAACCTATGAGTGTGACAAAAGGAAGAGCTGAGGTGGAGGAGTGGGATGGAGGGTGCCCAAGCAGCACCATGCAGCCCACCAAGGGCAAGCGAAGGGATGAAAGGCAGTCTCTGTTCAGAGGGGGAACACTAGTTAGTCTGAAGAGGAAAAGGGAATCTGGCAAGGACAAGGGTGCAGTTTTGTAATGGTACAGAGGACCCCTGGAAAGACCTTGAAATGAGAGCAATCAATTAACAAGCTGCTGTGGCTTCAGAAAAGCCATTATAGACATACTGATGTAATGAGCACATCTGATGCACAGAAGCTATTTAACCTTCAGCCTCTTGCCTTGTAAAGCACCTCTGGGGCACTGGGTAAAGCTGTTAATTATTAAGGTCAACCCCAGCAGACAGAGGTGTCCTCAAGTATGGATTGCTGTGATACACTCAGATAATTTCTCCATTATGTCAATAACTAATTTCCTGAATTGTTCAGGAATTGACAGATTAGCATCCATTAATCAAGTCTTAACTCATGGCTATGGGAGCAGTTACAGGCCACAAGGACTGCAGAACACATTCATAACTCCTTGAGCACATGTAATACATATACACAGACAGTATTGCAGCAGCTTGGTGTTGGTAAAACAAATAACCAACGTATGTAAAAACGCTGGGCAGGCAGTGGCAGGCACCAACTTGAGCAGGTGTCTTGATGTTTGTCCTCAGGTGCTCTGAGAGCACAGGATGAAGTCACTCTCACTTTTGAAGAACTGTGTATTGAGGAATTGTAAATTAACTGAATAACAACCAAACCAAAATACCCATTATATTCACTACCAAAAGCACATTTTTTCTTTTTTTCTGGGGAAAAAAATCCATACAGCAAACATTTCATGGATTTGATAAGTGTGACATTTTACACTGTTCACTTTTATGCTGCAAGACAAATCTCATTGCTTTTATTTATGCAGGCCATATAATTTTGTGTACCTAAATGCAAACATTTTTTTCCAAGCCCAGTCTAAGAAGAGCCTTTGGAAACTGCAATACAGTTAGGTAAGAAATTCCTTTGTTTCACAAAGCGGTTTTATTGTTTTGCCTCAAAGCCAAGCACGACTGGAAAAGCAGCTATCCTAAGTGAAGGGATGTGGTGGAGGAGAGGCTCAGCACTGAGGCTGCCTGAGCCTGGCACACTGGCTGCGTCCAGCTTTTGCAGGAGAAGGGAAATGGCCGTGTGACTGCATCACAGCATTACCTGTGTCTGCACTTACCTGCCTGAAACTATTCTGACTGACTGCCTTAAACCAAAGGAGGCTGGCGAGACACAGGAAAGAGAAGGAAATGAAACTACGATGGTGATAAAGCCTACTAATACCAACATTCCTTCAGGGGGATCGGTGGAGAGCGAGGCACTGGAATAAATGCTGCCTGCCTGCTGCCAGAAGGGTGACAAGCTGTTTTACCAAGGCCAGCAACGAATACAAAAGGATATTAAAAAGATATTAAACCCTCCCCCAGCACAGATGAAAGGGCTGGGGACTGGGGGTATGGAAAAGAGCTCAGAGCAGCTTCTTAAGAAGAAACATTACTGGACTTGCAGCTGCACCTGGGTGTCCCAGCAGGGGATTTCAGGGGCTTGTCTAAGCTGCTGAAAAGGTGAAAAAGGGGAAGACCCAAGCACCAACACCTCCCTCAGGCTCAGGCTTGTCTCCTGGTTTGTGGCAGGTTTCTGGCTGTACTGCCAACTATTCTGCCCCAAAGGGAGAGTTTCAGCTGCCCACTACAGGCTGTTTGGAGGGGAAGGGATTGGCAGGCAATGTTCAAAGACAGCAGTCCTGTTTAAATGCCAACACTGGGAGTAGGGTGGGCGAGACAGGCAGGGGGTGCCAGCCCAGTCACAGGGCAGTGAACATAGCAGCAGCCCTCATCTCCTGAGCTTGTGCCCTGGGAGAAATGTCAAAGCTGGATTGGGGAGGGACACTGCTCCCTTACCTGGAATGATGTCTGGCATTTTTTTCCCCCTCCAGACATCCTTTACTAGACAAGTCACTACCACCTTTCCCAACAAACCTCATCTCATTTGTAATCCTTAGGCTGCCATGGCCACAGCATCACTGCTGCAGCATCACTGCAGTACCTGTGTACAAGGGGCAGGTGGCCCTGGGAGAGGCCACAGGGGGAGAGCAAGCCCAGGTGCACCACAGGCTGGAGCTGTCTGCCCACTGAAACTGCCCAGGCGGCTGTTACTGAAATTTAATTTGCCTGGTGCATTCCATGGACATTTTAATCAGCATTTCCTACAATCTACTTGGCAAAGAGGCTCGATTGGCAGCTGCCTGACTGAATGGGCTTTGCACCCAGTCTAACCTTCTCCATTTGCAATTTCCAGTGCTGGAAAACCTCTCTGTCTCACTTTCAGAAGTTTCTATAGCAATCACAACTATCCTAGTGAAGCACTGGAAATGGCAGCCCATTCAGATTGTAATTTTTCTGGACAGTGATTGCTTCTCTCTCCACTGGCCCCTGAAATGTTACTTTTTGGGAGACATCAACTGCAACTGGAGAACACTGGTCCTCTGCCTGTGTTTCCAACCAACTTTGCTCCCCCTGCCCCCGTGAGGAACTTTGTTAACTGCTTACAGTGTGTGAACCTCAATTAGCAAGGAAGTGTTGCTGGGCACATCATACCTCAGCTACAGGAAAGACCTGACATGAGTGATGCTCTTAACAGGCCTGCAGGAACAAACCTCACCACCCAGCACATCATGTTGTGACCTGAACATTATCCATCACTGCATGTAGAAAAAGTTACACAAGTGTGTTTGCCTTTGCTAATTGTAAAAAACCAGAGCACTCAAAGCTTTTTTCTTCATGTCAATGAGCTTACTTTTCCTGGTTTGGTTGACTTCAGCTTAAACAATCACTTGATCTTTTGTTCCATGCTTCATTTTTCAGTGGTTGTGATTGCTCTTAATTACTGTGACACTGAAGAACCATGTGCTAAAAATACATTAAGTAACTTCTTGCAATAAGAAAATGTGGTAGAATTATCCCACCGCTTGTGAAGAAATCAGTTAACCATTTCTTAAGCTCTTGTAATAATCTTCCCCTATACTTTTACGGCTATTGTTGCCTGCTGGAAAAAAATAGCTTAAAGCTGAGTAAGGGGAATTGTGGATAAGTGTTTGCAATTTGGCTTTGGACTGACAGAGTGTGGTTGCACTCAGAGAATTTGAAGTCTTTGCACTGGCAGCAGTACTCAAATCTGGAAATATAGGATTCACATTGGAAAAGAGTGGATTTTTATAACGATTTAAATGAACAATTTCAGCTAGAGAGTGGATTAACAGAGCCAACTAAACCCTTCACCCTGACAAAGAACTGGCGGGAGGACTATAGAAACACATCCAAAATTTTACCAACATGAATGCAGAGTACTAGGTCAGTGAGAAGCATTTCTGTATTTTAATGGCTCTCTTAGAAATCAATTCAATTTAAAACAAAAGTTGTTTTACAAATATGTGGAGCATGCAGAAGGCTGGAGAGGGAGCAAGTGGCCTGCATCCTCCATCTGCTCTATCCTCTCTCTCCTCTCGCACTAGGAACTGCTACTGCAAGTCCCCCTTCTGGGCAGACAGAGGCAAAAGCAGGCAGTGCCCCAAAGCCAAGCGTCAGAAATGTCTCCCTTTCTGCAGATGTGTGGGTGTATCCCCAGACCCCACACCCTGTCTTTCCTGTATGCCAGAGCTCTTGAGGCCCAAAGCCAAGCAGCAGGAAACTCTAAGCCCAGGGGTCTTGGGGAAGCTGAGACACAAAAACCTGTGCTTCTCCATCAGAAATGAGGTTACAGAACAAGAGAATATTAAGTATTCCATGATGAGGAGCAATCCACTGACAAGAGATGGACATGTTGGGGATTGCTCATCTCTGAGAGGAAATGGATCAGTGTGACACAAGAGAAGCAACAAAGGCAGATTGGCAAAACCTGTTCTTGAAGAATTTCAGAAGAGGCAGAAAAGCTAAGGGACTTTTTTTGAGCAAAATTTCTTATTAAGCCCCACCAGCTTACTGCTGCAGGATGTTTAAAGGAAAAACCAGGATCTTAAATTGATCTGGAGAAGGGTCCAATGTTTCCATGAGTGACAAGGCATGCAACCATTGTTGATGGTACAGATTCACAAACCTGTGTGAATCTGTAATGGGAGAGTAAGACATCCCATTCTCAGTGCTCTTCTCAAACACTGGATACCACAATGCTGCAAGCAAGATACTGGAGCAAGTTTGTTGCTTGACTTCCAATTACAATATCCCTCTTCAAGAAATGGGAAAATATAATGTTTGCAGTAAAAGATAGAGAAATAGGCTCAAGGTTTAACCTTTCCTAAAAATTTTACACTCCTGGTTTCTCAAGTCCTAACTGTGAAACACTGCTTGCCATCTGCCAGAACTGGCACCCATGGAGAAGTGCCGTGCTGCAGCAGCGCTCTCCCATTCTCAGCACTCAGAGGTGCTCCTTCAGGGCACTTACACTGGGGAGCTGCAGTGATCCTCAGACGCCCCCAGTGTGGGGGTTCTCTGCCAGCCTACATGTTAACTAACTGCTTCCCCAGGCAATTTTCCAAGCTGGGCAAAACCTGTAACAACTAACCATGGAACTAATTGGCTGACAGCAAAAGCCCATCTTGAACAGTAAGAATTCCAAATTACAGTGGGGGGGGAAGCACTTTAATTGTGGCTTGCATACAGCTATTTTGTCTCACCTTCAAGTTGTTGGAGGAAAGAGCCAGAGGTTGAAAAAAGGGTTCCAAGCCCAAAAATTAGGGCTGCTGGCAGCAGTAACAGAGGCAGACAAGTCTAAACTACTTCTGAATGAGGACCTCTCTGACAAGCCCCGGATATTCCAACCCAAAAGCTGAACCATGTGTAGGGCAATGGCTACAGCTTGCACAGGCAACCACATGCCCAGAAACTGGCAGTACTGCCAGTCCAGGTTTGCCCCCTGGATACTGAGATTCAAGAGAAAAACAAGCACACTAAGTCATGAAGATCAAAGGGCTGGAGCACCTCTCCTATGGAGGCTGAGAGAGGTGAGGTTGTTCAGCCTAGAGAAGGCTCCAGGGAGACCTTACAGCACCTTCCAGTACCTAAAGGGCGTTGCAAGAGACCTGGAAGGGGACTTTTTACAAGGGTAGTAACAGGACAAAGGGCTTTTAACTGAAAAGAGGGAGGGCTTAGAGTGGCTACTAGGAATAAATTCTTTACTGTGAGGGTGGTGAGGTGCTGGAACAGGTTTCCCAGATCAGCTGTGGATGCCCCATCCCTGGCAGTGTTCCCAGACAGGCTGGATAAGGCCTTGAGTAACCCGGTCTAGTGGGAGGTGTCCCTGCCCATGGCAAGGGAGGTTGGGATTAGATGATCTTAAAGGTCCATTCCAACCCCTTAACAGTCTATTATTTTAAGTAACAGTGGGTCTGTCTATCCAGAACACATATCTAAAACCAGCATGAATAAGTGACAAGTTTATAAAATCTGGATTTATTAATTTTTATTACAAGATAAATTCTTCACAAATGACAGATAGATTTGACAGTGTTCAGTCTGTAATATATTAGATTCAAAATGACATATTTTAAAAAATATTTTCTGTATACAAGGAAAATCCCAACAGAATTTACAAAGCCACTGTATTTCGCATCTATAGAATCTGAGATTGTTATAAATCTTATGGGAAATCTGTTATTACAAGTAAAATAAAAACCACACAAATTGTTTACAATTTTAATCTCAAATCTCTTTTTTTCCTTTAAATAAATTCTTAAAATAGATGCATTATTTAAAACAAAATCACTACCACGAGGCACGTGGTGTTCAGTGGATGACATTAATTCTGTAACCCAAACAAGAAGACTAATCCACTCTGAGTAGCTAAATTAATTTTTTGCAGTATTTACATACTTTACTGAAGTATTTTCATCCCAGAGTCTCAGCAAGCATCTTAGAATATTAATGAGAAAAGCCTGGCAGCATGCCAGAGTTAAAAAGTAAGAAAGTAACATCATTCCCATTTTTTCAACAGGGAAACTGAGGCACCAGGTGTATTCAGACCCAGGCAATTGCAGAAAGAAAAATCCCAATCTTAATTCTGTTAGCTATGTCTTGATAGAGAGACTCTTCTTCCTCCTTGTTACATGGCTGGTGACTGTGCTGGGCACTGTTTGAAACCTGGTCAGTTGCTTTTTTTCATGCTTAGATTGCTGCAAAATAGGTGCCATCTATCCAGCTGTGGTGTCATCACGAACACCTTTACTAAAAGAAAAGCCATTAATGGTTTTCCTCTTCAGATTGAAAACCAGCAACAGCAAAAAGTGCATCTTCAATCCCTCTAAAGCCTCTGGAAGGCTGTCTTGTCCTACCCAAAATACTGCAATTGTTCCCTCAATCAGCACAGAAACAAATACTGAAAATGGTAACTCTGAAAAACAGAATTCCCTATTTATTATTTTAAAAAAAAAGTTAAATTTTTGGGTATTGTGAACATTCTTTGGTCAATTAAGTATTTGAAAGAAGTTAGTTGTGAGATTCTCAGCCAGGATGTGAACTTTAGAAAACACGAAGTGTTTCACATGGTCCATAATCCCCAGGATTTTAATAAATAACACATCAATAAAGGTCACTTGAAAAGACCTTTAAAAATAACTTGTCAATAATGTTTCCTAAATGACTAAAAGAAATAAAAACTTGATGCAGATCTGAGATGACATGAATTCACAAATTAAGAAAACCCTAAAAAGCCAGGACTTAATCTCTGGACAGAAGTATCCACCACAAGCATCCAGCATCCATCCAGCAATTTTTAAGGCTATTATGGAGGGGCATAATTTAGTCAAAGGCATCTCACCATTTACGTTTTGGCAAATAAAACATCTTCATGTGGGAACAAAGTCATGTGGGTGTCCAGTGAGATTCTGGCTGGCACCAGTTTCCTGGAAGGTGTCTGACCCCAGAAGCAGCACCCCCAACTGAGCACTGGAAAAAGGTGTTATACATGCTACAGCATTGTAAAATAAGCAAATAGGGCCTCACTTTCTTCAGGGAGGTACATGGGCATAAATGTGCTGCTTCTGTGGTTACTGAGGCACCTTCTGCCCTGGTATCCGGGCTGGCTGAGAAACTGGTCCAATAAATTTCTCCCTGAGGACCTGACCCAAAAGTGGCAAATCTCCCTCTGCAGCACAATCACAAATACAGCACAGTGATTTAGGCAACTTTTCCTGTTTTCAGCCTCAAAACACTTTCTGTAATCTTCTCAATTTATTTTCCTTGATTACTGCTGGTGTCTACCAGGGACTCCCAACAGACAAATTCCATGCTGGCCAAGGAAAGACAAGCACTATGGTTTTATTTAGCAATGTCTTCTGGAAGCAATGCTGGCTCTGGAAGCTTTTCAGAACTTCCCTCCTGTGTTTTCACAGCTCTCATCTATATCCTTAGAGGCTTTCAATGGTACATCAGTCCCACTGCACTTCTAAACACCTGGGGTATCTGAGTTACTTCCAAAAACCTGGGGTATCTGAACTGGGGTTTGTGCATTCAGACTTCAGAAAAGCCTCAAATACCAATGGCAAAGCAGCAGCAGTTTGAACACAAACAGGGACTCTGTGGTTAAAGGAGCTTCATCATCACCCACATGGTGGAGAAACACCTCACTTCCCTGGCCTGTCCCTGTGGGAATGAAGAACTTGCCAGGATCTCCTCTCCCACATGTCTCACACATGTCATCTGTGTTCTGCAAGATTACACACCTGTACCACCTGACAGAGAAGGACATACAGGCTAAACATATAAACAGTTTTTAAAAGAATGTAAATAAATATCTATATGCAAAGTGCCTTAGGTTATCTACCACCATCTCCCATTCTTGGACAACACATTCTGGTTCAAGTCAGGAAGCACTTGAATGCTACTCAAAAGAAGTCAAGGCTGAAGCTTCAGCAGAGTTATCAGCACAGTCCCAGGCTGATAGATATAGACTGCCACATATAAACACAGAAACACACACACTTAAATGATATATATTAGTTCTATCTAGATTTCTATATACATGTATAAATTAAATACATAAATGTGTTTGTATATACAGACACACATGCATGAGTGTCAATAGTCCCTAGGTTGAGAAACCTAATCTGAATCTCTGAAAACATCCACCAGTTATTTGGATATTCTTCAGTATAAGCAATGTGTTTTGATTGGAGTTTTCATAAATATGCATTAAAATTCTCCATGGTAGTCACCCTTGTGGGAATAATATTATAGTTCCATGAGCTGCAAACTATACATATAGGCTTTAAAAATTATGTGAAGAGCAGGTATGACCAGTGTAAGTAACTTCCAGGACAAACAGAAGGGATCAGAACAGAAAACCAGACTTGAGCACGTGCCTCCCTAACAAAAGTAAGTGCACAGGACCTCTCCAGCCCTCCCTGCTGCCCAAAAGGCCCTTTTAGAAGCTTTTTGTAAATCTGACAATTGATGATAATTGATGTGAGACAATTTGGTAACAGACAGAAAAATATATTGCAAAATCCAAGATAACCTCTCAAAGTTGGGCACAGTGTGTTATATATCTCCTCCCTAGGAAATGAGGGCAGTCTTCAGTCCATCTACATGTTTCTTTTCTACTCAAAGTTTCTAAATATGCTCTTAGGATTGCTTTATAAAAATACATGATAAGCCAATACACACAATACCATGTTTTGTTTAACTTAAGATTAAAATCAAGAATGACGCCACTGCATCTTTTAACTAAAGTAGAGTTTCCAACCACAAAGATGAGGATGGGTGATGTGTCTTGAGGTATCAATTACTATCCTGTCTTTTCCATAAAACACATTCCTATGGTAACAGGATGAATTGCCTGAGTAATACTGAGTACTGCTCCCCCCAGATCAGGGCAGGTGTGTTAGCAGCAGTGGAAGGTTTGGTGTAGAAGAAGCCTAAGAAAATTCAGGGTAGAGACATCATTGGTGTAAAGGCAGTGTATTCAGGCTTGTAAGAACCACTAAATTTAGGAAGAATATGAATTTGCACTTATTTGCTACAGCATAGCCTGTCTTATCAAGGTCTCTCTCTTTTCCCATCCATTACTTAGATCTTAATCCTGTGCAGCTTCAAGTACCTTAAAGCTCCTCCTCAGGGTTCTCTCTTGGTTAAAACCATTAGCTTTCAATGAACCAGACTGAGCAACAGTCTGCTTAGAAAAAACTCCTAGAGCCTGAATGTCAACACATAGCTAGAATCTGAGAATAATAAAAAAAAAAGCAAAACAGAACACACTACAGAAGAATTCCAACAGTCTGGCATGGACAATATCAGGAGTTTCTTAAAGACAGCATTTGATTTTTCTTTTGTGCAAGCAGCATTGTACCTGACAGAAGAAATGCATAAACAATGAAGTGCCGACTTCATGTGACATCATAAAATGCCTCTGCATAGCCCATCAACGTTTTCCGTACACCAATCCTCCAGAAAAATTCTAAACCCATTAAATTTCCTGAACCTCAAAGTTATATTTTAGAGAATCATTAATGCTGGAAAAAAACTCCAGGATCAAGTCCAACTTTTGTCCAAACATCACCCTATCAAATAAACCACAGCACTAAGTGCCATGTCCAGCAATTTCTTTAGCACTGCCAGGGATGGTGACGCCACCACCTCCCTGGGCAGCCTGTTCCAATACTGGACAACACTTTCAATGAAGAAATTCTTCCTCATGTCCAACCTGAATCTCCCCTGGAGCAACTTGAGGCTGTGTCCTCTCATCCTGTCACTGGCTGCCTGGGAGAAGAGTCCAATCCTCACCTCATTACAGACTCCACTGAGGGAATTGTAGAGAGCAATAAGGACCCCCCCAAGCCTCCTTTCTCCAGGCTAAACACCCCCAGCTCCTTCAGCCACTCCTCACAGGATTTGTTCACCAGAACCTTCACCAGCTTCATTGCCTTTCTCTGGACTCATTCCAGCCCCTCAATATCCTTCTCGTAGTGGAGGGCCCAGACTGAACGCAGGATTCAAGGCACGGCCTCACCAGTGCGGGTACTGGGGGACAATCCCTGCCCTGGTGCTGATACAGGCCAGGATGCCATTGGCATTCTTGGCCACCTGGGCACAGCTGGCTCATGTCCCACCCACTCAGCATCATCTGTGAACTTGCTGAGTGTGCACTTTGATCCCCTTGTCCATACCATGGATAAAGATATTGAAGAGGGCTGGCCCCAGTACTGAGCCCTAGGGAACCCCACTGGTGACCAGCCACCAGCTGGATGTAATTCTGTTCACCACCACTGTATGGACCCAGACATCCAGACAGGTAAGAACAAATGAAGGCAAAATTTCACATATCCACACACTGGTGGTACAGAAAAATAACTGATGAGACCTCATGTCTTAAGCTCAAAAAACTATTAATGAAAGAAAACATGGTCCAGATGATAAAGTGCAATTATTATTCAAGTTGTGCTAAAAAGCTTTCCAGTTCTTTTCCGAAGCTTTTCCAATTTTTCTTCTTGGTGATTTCATGCTGTAATTGTACTTCTTGGTGATTTCATTCAACTTTTAATTATGTTTTTTTGCTTCTGTCCCCATCATTCCAGTACTGTTCAGTTTGCATTTCTGTGAGCCGTGAAAGAGTACGCTGAAAGGCAAAGACTTCCTCTTCTCCTGTAAACATGGAGAGTCCTTTGGCAGAATCCTACATCAGCACACAAAAACAGCATCACACACCTGTGAGACTCAAGGCTGTACTGAAGTGCATATTGATAACTCCTAAAGCTCAGTGCTTTACAGGCTTTGACAAAAAAAGTCAGCAGCATGGCACCAAAAAAACTAAAACTAATGCCCAAAAATTAAAGAAAAGCACCTATTTCAGCTATATTCCCCTGAAGGGAAAATATAGCAAATATATTTGCTATATTCCCCTGAAGGAATATAGGAAAAAGAATAATTTGGTTTTAAAACAACACAGTAACAGGTTAACCATCTATTTTCCCTTTTTTGTTGACTAATTGTATATTAATTTAAACAAATTATTTTAAAAGTCATTAGCAATAACTGGGCTACAAGGAAAAAGAAAAACAGAATAAGCAACATGCAAAGTAGTACTGTTTGTGAGGACTTTTAAGGCTGTTCTGTAGTCTAGGAAGAGGTAGAACAAACCATCTTTTATTTCTGTATTTTAAATGTAGGCACTAAAATCAGCATTTTCATATGACTGAACAGATACAATGATTAATACTCAAAATGACCCTAAAACTTACATAAAATGGTTCTACATATAGTGACATTTTCTTTGACTATGAATAAGTAGCACAACATGTAATTAACAGAGTACCATGGACACTGCAAAAAAGGCAGCAAATCATTAGTTAAAGGTTTTCTTGATTCCCCCTCCTAAAATACTGCTGCAATTATGACACTAAACCAAATTCTGTTACAAAAGGGAGATGATGTTAAAATCATGTACCTGGCTCAAGTCCAAATCATCCATCAACACTCTGTTGTCCTGCAGTTCACCGCTGCCGTGTTCCACCAGGAACAAGCTTTGGAGAGGAGCTGCCGCGGAACAGATAATGCGCACCTGAAACGAGGAGAACAGGGAACAACATCGTCACTTGGGCTTTACGGGATCAAACACATGACCTATGCACAGCAAATTTCAAGTTAAAACGTCAGTGTTTTTACCCCAGTGTTTTTCCTTTCTCTTATTAGCGCTGCTGTTATAAATTTACCTTAGTCAGATGGAGTGTTATCCTTACAGGATCTTTTTCTTAGTAACAACTGATGTAACTTCTACTCAGAGAACAGAACTGTGCTATCAAATGCTCAGAATATCTGCTACACAGGCAATGAGTTCACCAAAAAGTCTAATTTCTAAAATAACAGCTGTATAGTAAGCAATGCTTACTTTTCACCCTAAGTGAGAGTCCTCTCGGTGGGTAGATGCACTACACTATTTAAAGAATATTTAAATTCCAAATATCCCAGAAGGCTGAGTGAAGCCTTTCTTGCCTTCATCTGTGCTACTCCAGTAAGTTATTTGATAGTAAAAATAATGATGCTGTTTTCATGTCTGCTGGGAGGAGATACACTGTGCAGTGAGGGATGCGGCTGCAATGAAGACAGACTGAAATCATACTACAGAAGGAGACTCATGTTGAGAGCATGCAAGCAAGATGTTTGCGTTGTGGACAGACATCCACAAATATGCTCAGGTGTTTTTCCTAACACCTACTTTTGATGGGAATTTAACACTTGTGTTTTTCCTATGGAGGAAGTAATAGAAAGTGACTGCTTACAATTCTTAATGATGGCACAAACACAGAGCAGATCATCCTCCTATTTCTAACACATTAGTTTAATATTAGCATATTAATGTCAGCATATATTTGTCTTAGCAAATGTCCACTTCCAAACCATGAAGCATAAACAATCTGGCTAATTTGAATGACACTGATTTGAATATGGCTGATTTGAATGTGACTACTCATACAGTGAGTTAGTTCAATACCTCACTGAGTTGGGGTCTTTCTGATCAACAAGCCATGCCAGAACATCCTTGAAAATAACCAACCTCAACTGACACTTCCCAACTGCATAAATGTTTAAGTGTGTGTAAATATAATCACGTATAAGATAGTGTTTCAAATCTTGCATCACTTTAAAAAACCATCACCTTAAACAGGAACTTCACTTTTAGTTATGCTGATTTTGCTTCCATGCTTGAAATCTCTGTAAATCCACATGAAGTGCTGCATTTATCATTATTGTTCCATGAGCAATTCTGCAATCTAATGTAAAGCCTATAGTGACTGTTTTCTTTAAACTTTATGATGCAATTGTGCTATTAACTCCTCCTTCCTGATCAAAAAAAACACTGATTCCTGACCAACTGCCCCTACAGATTAAAATCTAAAAATCTCCATTTCACTCCAGCACAGTTGGCAGCACAGTCTTTCATTATTAAAATAATGACATGGCTTCTGTTGTTTTCCTGGGTTAGGAAAGAACATCCCCATTCAAGAAAGGCAATAGAGCTCTGGCTTATATTTATGCTTATACTTAATACTCACAGAAACAAAAAAACCCATCTGTTTATTTGCCTTTATTGCAATGGGACCATTCTTTAATTTTTTTTTTTTTGTGAAGCTGGAATGATGTTTCTTTGCACTACTAGTTCATTCTGCTTATATTTTCAAAACCCTTACTACAGAAAGCCTTATTCCAAACCAATAGCAACAGTCAGTTTTAGGATTCCCAATATTGTTCCTATGCGTATAGGAAAGGCTTGGTTCTCACCTTATGCTCATAAAAGGTATCAATAAGAGTAATGAAACGACGAGTTTGTGTCCTTTTTGCTATTGTAAGAAGTGGTATGTCACGAACAAACACTGTGTCAAAATGCTTTGATATTTCCAAATAGTCGCTGGCTCCAAGAGGCTGAAACAAAACAAACCATAAGCAATGGAAATCCATGATAGAATGACACATAAACACTGTATCTTGACATACTACAGTAACAGAAGAGAGCTGTAAAGTCCTGATCATATTATTATTTTTATTCCTTTGTATTTCGCTTGAGGAATGCTCGATTGCCCTTAGGGACATAGGTACATATGGGTACCTATACTGTTAACTTTACATGAACTGTGAGAGTTGAAATGTGGCTCTTCTGCACCCAGACATTATGATCTCTCTCTGATAACCTCAAATAAAATAATCACCATAAACCCATAATCCATATAAGACATGTGATTTCAACCTAAAGCATAAATCATTTGAATAGCTATTACGATGCTTTCCAGCAGCAAGATTTTTAAATGCCAATTCATAGGCTAGTAATTAAATCCTAAGTAGACCTGCATTTAAATCACCCAGGACTAACCCAGACTGAATATCTTACATTTTAAGTATGGAAAACAAGAGGAAACAGACAAAAATACAATTTTGCAGCAGTTCCTTTGTTCATGGTTTCTCCTGTAATGATGAAATAAAAATCTTCACCAACTTATTAGTGTCTCTTTCTGTTTCTAAACCATCAACAGAAAATACACACAAATAGTAGTAGCTCATTCAAGTACATTCTACTAAAATTACTTTTTCATTACAAGGAAGGTATTTTTTCCTGCAAGATCTATCCTATCAGTACCACAGGCAGTACTTTATCATGAGCTATCAAAATCTGTACTCCTGTACTTGTTCCATCAGTTTACTTGCGCAAATACTTCAGAATCTTGTCTGCAGCTACTGCAGAGAACAAGTTCAGCAGCACTTTGTGTGGTCACAACTCCCTTCCCAGTTAATGATATGTACCATGTGCTGTACAAAGCATAACACTGTTATAAAGCACTGCAATACTGCTATTACCTTAAAACCAGTAAATACAAAATATTTTCTCTAACTGAAATTGCGAGACTAATTTGTTGTAAGCCACACCACTTCTTAACTAAAACCCTTCTGCAGGAACTTATTTTAAGCAGTTATTAATAGCTGCCCATGAAGAGGACTTTGGGGTTTTTTTAGATGCTAGAATAAAAAAACTTGTAGAAATGGTCTCTACATAAGCATAGGAGAGAGAAGCCCCGATGGCATTCCAAATATTCCTCTGAAAATTAATGGGAATAAGCTAACCTTCTAGGTGGGTATTAGAGCCTGTCACTCTCCATCAGCTCTCCCACTTGCAGTCTCATGAATCACCCTGCTTTCCCATTCCCAAGCACACAACTTCCCTGTTGTAGCATAGATGTTGTAGCATCTATGGAAAAGAATTACTACAAAAACTTTCAATTCTTTTGAGCAGTGTTTAAGAGTAGTACATGCTATATTCTCCCCTTAGAATTATATTTAATGCTTATTTTCTTTCTCCATTTCAGTCTCCTAGTTACTACTATGGACTTAGTCCATAAAACCAAAAACTCATCATCATGAGGGCCACCAGCAAAGCTTCATGCAACACCACTGTAAAAAAACAAACTCCTATCTGGATAAACCAGAGTAGCTGAACTCAAGATGTTTTGATGAAATAAAACAGGAAAAGGTTCAAGAAAGCAAAAGGAACTGATGTCTGGAAACACCAAGCTAACCCACTGGACACCTTGCCACCAGATACAAGTGATCTGGACTGCCAGAGTTTCAAGTACAAAGGAAAACAATGGGAGCATTAAAAGCAACACAACCAGGATGCTGCTGGAGATTTTAAGATTAGTGATAAGCAAATAGTTTAGGTAAGGGTAATTTTATTCCATACTTAGGACTGGAGTACTGTTGAACACAGAGATCAAGTGTGCTTGTGTGATGAGTACCTGCGAGGGAGAACAGCAATGATCTCATTGTACACAAGAAAGGTGAGAATTTCTCATGTCTCCCCTTAGATAAGAAATTACAGACATCACTGCTACATTGATTCATTCTTTTATCACATGAAGAGTCCAAGCAGTCTTCTGCCAAAACCCAAAACCCTGAGGAATTATTCTGCCCTACCCCAATGTGACACACTTTCTCACACAAACTGTACCAATAAACCCTCCTGTTCTCAAAGGATCAGATATTAAAAGCTGATTCCTAAAATAAATAAAGACGTAACTAAAAGTTAAAGTATCCAAACTTTTGCAAAGTATGCAAACTGAAGTGCCCAACTAATGAGCTATATAGCTAAGAACTCGGTGGGTACATTGTTTGGTGGATATCCAAACAGGAGAATAAAAAACCTGGGTAGTCAGAAGGAAGAAACAGGTGGAAGATAAAAATAAGTCTAATGCATTTCAAATGTGAAGAATGGAAGATGCAATACTTATATTGCTTTTCATTCACACATAAAACCATGGTTCATTGAAGGTTACAATATGCATCTTTATCAGTCAAACAGGAATTCAACCTACTTCAGCAGTGCAACAAGCCATTCAAGAATTCCTCTAATTAAGCACATAAAAGGCAGGTCATTTCAAGCTTTAACAAGAACTTCTGAAACATCTACACCAACACCAAGTGATAATATTCTGTTAATGTTGGCATAAACATACCTTTGGATAGTCCAAAACCTTACACTAAGAAAGATCTCAGTCTAGCAGCATATGAGCACTTTGAGTGTATTTAGTAACTCCCTGACAAGACTCAAGTCTAGTGAGACATAACTGAAATGCCGAGTCAGCCATTCTGCTGTTACATATGGCTCAGCCGATAGGAGCTGTAGTCCCTTACATAGAGGAGTTCTCAAAACTCCCTGCTTTTGGAGCTTAGAGATGAAAGACAAAGTTTTAAATCTTGTTTCTAACATGACTTACTCTCATCTTGGGAAGTCCTCTAATTTCCTTCTTAGTATAAAAAGTGGGACCACCAGCAAATTTGCAAATGCTCTGGTGACAGATTAAAGCCCCTTGTTGTATGCCTCTGACCTTGCTATTGGCCCAGTTTCCATGTTCCCAGTAATTGCTTCAGAGCTGGTCTAATGCACCAACTAACTCAAACTGCTCCAAATGCAAGACACCATGCAGGGGCACCCTGACAACTTCTCAACTCACATTCTCACTGGCCTGCCGCCCCCCAAACCTGGCATGAGGCTGGCACAAGCACCCACGTACCACCTCTGCCACACGGAAACAGAGATGGGGAAATGAGTTCAAGGCCAGATTGCTAGAGGCTCTGCCTCTACAGTCCACACACAGAAATTCCACCGAGGAGCAGATTTCTGCTGTTCCAGCAGCCCACAGCCCTCTCCTCAGCCTCACAGCACTGCCTTACTGCCTTCAGGCCCTTTCCCCTCACCTTGCAGTGAGCACTGGCAGTTTCCCAACTGCCAGCAACACCAGCTCAGACTAGGTAACAAGACTAGAGGCACATGATAGCACTGTCCTCTGCATAACCCTCCAGGGCTGAAATTTATTTTGGGAATCTCAACCAATCTCAGAGAGTATTTCTGCTAGCAGCATACATGAAGGTATTTCTTCCTCTGCAGTTGCTAATGAAGCCACAAATCCTCCTAATATTGATACATTTATATGTAATCCTCTTACCAAAAGTTTAGCCTGATTAATCTCATCCTATGAATAACATTGTAAAAACAACTTCATTTGGTGTGTGTTTCTGGTACTGTCTGACCTCTTGTTTCATTGATTATTGATCAAAACTCAACTGCAGAACAGTAAGACATTTGTGTAATGACTGTCACCATTTGTTACCAGTTTTTTCACATGCTATAATATTATTTAAAAAACTCAAAACATTAACAGATAAGAATCTTTCTTATGGTATCATTGTTCCTGCATGTGTATATACTGTAAAACTGTTGTGGATTTTTGTCATTAGCTCTGATGCCAAGAGTCAGTATTTTACAGGCTAATGCAAAACGCATTAGCACTGACATGGGCTACGCTCCTGACAAAGTGTTTACTCCACTTCAACCTGCTTGACTGAGTTCTTACCTTCATTTGTTTTTGTTTCTCTGTCTACTTAATGTATTTTCAGCTATCATCATCTCAGTTCAAGTAGGATGTTTATTATTTGGAGCTCTCTGTGGGCTGTTCCAGAGTTAGCTGTCTCCTCTTTCTATTAGAGTCCATTTAATTATACTATAAGGCATCTTTTTTTCTTTGTTGACTCATCAGTGGCCCAGTATATCACCTTTCAGAGATTGTCTGAAGAATACAGAATGTTTTACATATGATAGAAAAGGATATGTCATCTGATAAAAATATGTAATTTTTTGTTGATGTTGCAAGATATTCTAGGGCCAGTTCCAGCCAATCCCAAAGACTCATGATTGACAGCAACTATAATTTTGTGCAGATACTCTTAACACTCCAAAAATTCCTACAGACAACACCCAGTTTGAGACTGGATAATATTTACAACTTAATCATCAAGTATAAATAAAAAAATATAAAGCTCTGTTGTTTCAGAATAACACAGTATCACTAGTGAGGCTCATAAAACAGAGCACTGAGATGATGTGTCAAGATCATAATTCCAAGAAAGGAACCAAAAAACCCAAGGCATGATATATAACACCACAGCATGCTAAAGTTAAATAAAAATGGGAAGAGGTAGGGCATGACTAACTTGGGAAAAAATTTAGAGCTACTGATAGCAGTGCAAATCATAGAACCATAGAATAGTTTGGGCTGGGAGATCCCTTAACCATCATCTAGTTCTAACCAGGAGAGCAGGAATCTAAGATCTGTAAACCCTGGAGTGAAAGATGTTTTCTGTGTCAAGCACAGCCCCTTGCTAACTCAGGTTATCTCACCAGAGAATCCTGTTAAGAAGTAATTTTGCTTGTTCTTACAGCAGAAGTTTTTTAGTCACATTTCTCATAGAGAAAAGTTGTTTGAGATCTTTGCTCTTCTGCTTAAGAATATGATTGCAATTTTCTGTTCTTATATTTATTTATGTATTTATTTGAACAATATGCTTGAAGTTGGCTGAATAATGAAAGTATGGAAAAG